GTACAAGTGAAACTGATTATATGATTGACACATACCAATGCAAGTAAAACAAGTTATGCCATTTACATTTGTAAGTTAAGTATGAGCATCGCAAAGTAAATGTCATGCTACATTCATTTATTACTATTGCAAGTCAAACCATTTATATTTAATTGAATCCATATTAGTATTAAGAACATTGTTAAAATATTGAAAATTCATAAATTAGTCAGAAGATATTTCTATGTTAGTTATTTTATTATATTGCTTATTTAAAAAAATTGAATGATTGAGATAAAGAACAAGAGGCCACTGAGCAATCGAGTTGCTCAGCCAAATTATGTTCATGTTTTTTCAGGGAAAGTAAAGAGTCCTATCGAGTAGATAGTTGATTAGGTAGAGTTTTGTTTGAGAGGGTTAGTAGAAAAGTATTATTTTGTTGTTCAATTTATTTAATTTATTTTGATGACTAGAACCTTTCCTGGATTATTGTAAATGAATGTTTGGAAAGAAATGAATCATATTATTTGTGTACATTTTCTTGTATTGTTACATATTAAAGAAATATATATAATTTTAAGGTTGAGCTAGGTTATGTTAGGATCAATTTTTCCTTAGGTCTTGGGGCATGCTACTAGGCACTCTAGTAAAGTCAGCTATTTTTGGCAAACAAATCCATCACAAAATAAGTCAAATACATCGCAAATTTAGCTTTGCGGTGGATTTGCGATAGAATACATTCCAACTGTAAAAGTCGAGTCACAAAAATATTTTGCGATGGACAAAATCTGTCATAAATATTTTTGTATCACAAATATTTTAAGATAAAATTAAAGTTGAGAAAATGACATCTTTGTTTCAGCCACCCGTCGCTAATTCTGCCAAAATTATGACGGATTTGTGGCAGAAATGACTCTGCAATTTGCGAAGGAAATGCCATTACAAATCGTGGAGGAATTGCCGCCGCAAATCTGCCTCATTTTGTGACGGAATTTTTTGTTACAATATACGATGGACCTTTGTTGTTTCGATGTTTGCGGCAAAAATTCTGCCGCAGATATGTCAGAAATTTGTAGCTTAAATAAAAAAAAAAATTCACCTACAATCAGTTATTTGGTTTTTCAACAATAACAATCCAAGCTGTTTAATAGCAGTAATTAATAATTCTAAATGAAGTAGTTAATAATGCTAATATTCCAACAAACACTGCTAATATAAACATAAGAAATACACTATTCTACAATCATAATCCAACTACTCAAATAAACAATCACATTATAACTGTTCTACAATTACTATAATACTGCTAAAGTAAATATAGTTTTTATACATAAAAAAATTTAAAATGCATAAAAAATCTAAGAAGACAATCTAAGCGGAATCTGTATCTTTATTCTCCTCTTTGGCCGATGTAGGCACATGCTGATTTTCACCAATCTGCTCTCTCAATATCTGAAGCTCATCCAATATTTGAATTTTAATGTTCGCTTGTGATTTTGGGACATGTTCTAGCTATGCTATCAAGTTAGCCACCTGTTAGCTATACAAACTCTCTTGGCTTTTTGCAGAGTAGCTGGAGGCAGAAGAGGATTTTCCCTCATATGCATAGGCCTGCAAGTCTAATTCATAAACTCTTTCCTTTTGCATTCCGCCTACCGCCTGCGACCAAGTGCGGTAGTCAGAAATATTATTGGAACCCCATAGGATCCCTCACCAACTATAGCCTGGCTTTGTCAAATTTGAGTATATACACATCCTACAAAAATAACATAAGATTAATCATTGTATAATCATCACTTACAATATTTCTCTAAGTATTGCAAACTTATCTAATTACATAGCCCCTCATCCACTCACTACTGATCCTTCTGACGCTTGTGGGTGTGAATAAATAGCAGTGGATGCTCTACCCAATGTCTCCTACATTATACTTAGATTAGTATGTATAATCAAATAAATTATTAAAATATGTTAAAATTCTTACTAATCGTCGTATGTGCTCAGTGTATAGAATTGAGCCCCCAGTATGGAGGGAGCTACTCACCATGTGAAGTTCAATGCCAATATTCTGGCATGAATCCTTTGTGATATATATCAACAATAATCTCATTTAGCGTGAGGTAGACTTGATTTTGGTGTTTGAAACATGGACAACGAAATCTTCTCTTTGATATAAAGGAAATTAATAGCTTGCCTGAATAAAAAAATTCACCAAGTTGAAAAATTCATCTGTTAACATATTACGTCTAGGTAACAGTCGGTTATACATCCAACTTTAATTTTTTTTTGAATATCCATAACACACTTGGGCTATAAATTTCTATAACTAAACAACGAGATTTGTATCAATTTAATGTTTTTTAGGTATAATTTTCATTATAAATTTTTTTTGGGATAAATTCTCTACAGCACTTAACATTATGCTTCTCTTTTAATGGCCAACATGCTACACTATAGTGCATTGCATATTTCAATACCATCTTATAGAATTTTCCACTAAGGTTGAGGAGGACTTTTCTATCACACAATAAGCCCGATGCATTCCTCCACTTCAACCATACAATAATGATATGTGACTAAACTATCTAAGATGACTCTCTCTAGTCTTATCTTTCACTGGAGCTACTCCAACATTTTCACGTATACTCATTTCGTACCCTGTCTCTAAGATTAAAGCCACTAATCCACTTGAGCATCTTCATCTCTGCAACACTTAATATTATGCTTCTTTTTAATGGCCAACATTCTGCACCATAAAGCATTGCCTTAAGTTTGAGGGGGACTTTTCTATCATACAACAAGCCCGATGCATTTCTCCACTTCATCCATCCAACCTTAAAAAGCCTAATAATATCTCAAAGAATACCTTCGCTATCTGTTGCTCGGTTGCAGGGAGGGAATTTGGTGGATTCAGGGATTTGGGCAAAGAATTGTGCAAAAGGAAGAAAGATGGATACCTTTGCAACTACCAAGCTCTCGTCGCAAAGGTGTGACTTCGGATGCGAGAGAAGAATAACAAGAGGAGGTGTGACTTAGGACGCAATAGGAAGGAGCGTCGTCGAAGGTGGAGATGCGACAAGAATGCGAACGTCGTCTTAGGAGGCGAAGCGACAAGAAGGAATGTCGTCGAAGGAGGCGAAGAAGCCAAGATTGCGTAGAGGCGAAGTTGAAGGAGGCGGAGGAGAGCAGTCGAACAACAGAACAAATGAAACGGATGCACACTCAATCAGTTAGATAGGAAAATTTGCATCGGATTTGTGGTGGAAAATCCGCCACAAAAAAATCATCAAAAAATTTTGTCACAAATCCGCCGTCATTTTAATAAAAAAAAATCCACTGGAAAATGTTGATTTTCCTTTAGTGAGGATCACACTCCTATGGCTGATTGGATGAGCTCTTTGAGGCTGTTGTACCTACCTTAGTAAACTGAAAAAGGCAATCCATCCCGTTGTAAATGCGCAATATCTTGGGCTTGAATGGTGGTCGGAGTAAATAAACCAATCCAGGTGCCCAAAATTGTCCAAGATGAAAGAGGAACATCCATCATGTTAACGTTATGTCGATCTATTTCTTTTTCTTACAAAATCCTCCAAATCTTCTAGAAAAGGATGCGATGATGATACAATATAAGCTACATTGTCAAACCACTTAAAAGTATATGCATTCTTCCTCTTGTTCTTTTCTTTCTCAGCACTATATATACATTTCTCACCAAAATTGCATAGGGAAGTAAACTTCAATGAGGGGACTCAACCCTCTAATCTCTTGCTTCTTCCTAGACCTCTCTTCTTCCTTGATAAACCAATACAACTCTCGGTTAAATCTAGCCCATTGATTCTAACGCCCACCTATTTTTCATCATTAACAACCATTGACAAACATATTGATTCGTTGGAGATAATTTTATTTGATTTGGAATCTCTGTATCCCATCGAAAGAAGGCTCGGTATCCCTTAACCTCATTTTATATGGGATATCTAATAGGAGGCAACTATAGTTGTTAGTTAGACTCCCTTAATGGTATGGCCTCTTGGCTTTCTATTATGGGTACTAATTTGATTCCCTTAAGTATATATCAACTCAACCTTTATGGGATATGTGATATTTGATGGGTTGTAATTATAATTACTAATCAGACCCCTTGAATGATATGGCCTTTAGCCTCATATAATGGATGGATTATGTTCATTAGGTTAATCCGAAATGATAGAATCATGAGATTTTAATATAGTTGGTCGCATAGCTCCAGTTATACTCGAGCTTAAGCTCAAATTCATGTCCTTGAAATGATCATATTCTCAGGTATCCAGGTTTGTACTCATGGGAAATCTCTATTCCTTGGATATAATTTAGACCCTAGATAGGCTAAATTTTTTCTTGGGGATATCTTTTGAAAAGTAAAATACTTTACTTTTTAAAAACTCATTGCCGCTCAATATCCAATTCATAGACTTAAAAATCCAACGGAGGGATCAGTCATCAATCTCATGAGCTCTTTAAGATCCCACAATTTTGAATATGTTGGGTTACAAATCTTCTACAATATTTAAGCTTGATTCAGGGAAACACTTAAATCATGCAAATCAATTTCTGAAGGCGAAGCTGTAATCTCTTATTGCCTGAAAATATTTAAGCTTGATTCGTTTCAACATTTATAGAACCTACTTACATTTTTTTTTTGTTGTTTCTATGATTGTTTTATTTTCAGACCACTTTGCTCAACATGTAGTTGGATATTGTCTCTTAAACAATATCTCACTGAGGTGAGTATAAACATTTGCTAGATACTTTTAGCATTTAATTTCTGTTCAATTTATGGCCAATCATTGAAATCGATTTATGACTATGTTGTGATGTTAAATGTTGCGATTGTTCTTCCAACAAATTCTTTATCAATTTCACTTAATGGTACAGTCCATCCTAATCTAAGATTATTTTAGTACCTACAAGGTTTTCTTTAAATCGGCATTCTTTGCCAATTAGAAGGTTATCTGTTATTGATATAACTGTTGTTTCTACAGTTGAGAAGTCAAAGTACATCTATATTGCTGGTTTTTTCCTTTCGGTTTCTCTGGAGTCAATACTTCGGCTTCGTTTGGGGCGGCGTTCTTTCTACTTCTTAAAGCAGTTTTCTAGTATAAAAATTTTAATTTTCATACTACAATGCTGCTTTAAGAAGCAGAAAGAAAGCCGTGCCAAATGAGGCCTTCATGTGGCTAAGCACGTAGCTGCAAAACACAAGGCAAGTGTTCTATTTACAGAATAATTTATCTATCTGTGATCTATTTTTCTCATATGTATATAAAATGATAATGCGTAGCCATTTTGATTTTTTCTCCTTGATGCAGTTCTTAACTTTATTAGTGATTAAGATTATTAGTCTGATGTAACCTATATGATAATTCCTTCCAAAATGTTTGAAGTTTACATTTAGTTCTCCTGACTTTCTGCTGCTGAATGATGAAATCAGGTGAAATTATTCCCTGTGATCTTTTTACCCGAGGAACTGGTCGATACAAATGCTGCAGGTAACTCCATGATTATCATGTTGGTTTATTGTTTTACCTGCATCTGATTTTGACAATTCTCATCAAAAGTCTGGTTATTTCATCAAACTTTGGAGTGGTAGAATGCTTAGTCTAAGGCTTCGTTTGAGACGACTTTCTTAATGCTTCTGTTTTAATAAGCAATAAGAAAGTCATTCTAAATGAAGCTTGAGACTTTGTTTGTGATAGCTTTCTTACTATTTTTTAAAGCAGTTTTTTAGTATAAATATTTCTTGAACTCGAAAATTTTATATTAAAAAACTGTTTTAAAAAGCAGTAAGAAAGTTGTCCCAAACGAAGCCTAATTACATGCCAATTTGCATATTTAGTTTAATATAATAGGATGACTTCTTTTTCTACAGGCGATTCATTTGTTGGAGGATTCTGGTCTCATTTGGTTCAGGAGAAGAGCATAGGTGACTGTGTTAGAGCTGGTCTCATTATAACACAGAGGTCTGGCTGCACTTAACTCTGAAAAACCAGACTTCAAGTGAGATGAAAGCAGAGTTAAGTATTGTTTTATTCAACTTTATAATTTATTTTTAATTATTGAAATTGAATATGATAAGAATTTTAAAATTTTAATAAATTTATTTGTTTATTTTCTAATCATGATTTAAGTTTTAATTAAATTTAATTAAAAATATAATTAATACTGATGATTTAAATATATATTATAATTATTAGTTGTAATTAAATTATAAATTTTAATTTAATTTGGGCATAATTCATTAGATTTTATTTAAGTAATTTGATGGAATCTAAACATTAATTATTTTTTTTAATCTTTATATATAATTATTTATTTGATGTTTTTATTACACCTATAGGAAATTTGATACATTGAAATAGAATAAATAATCTGATAATTTAGCGACCATTAAATGAATAATTTTTAGAGTTCTTAGTGAGCTTTTTTTTTATAGTAATGAGTACGTAAGATTTTGTTTGGGACGCCTTTTTTATTGTTTTAAGATGCAATAAAAAAGTTATCCGAAATGAGGTCTAAGGTTTTGTTTGGTACAGCTTTCTTACTGCTTTCTAAAATAGTTTTTAAGTATTAATTTTACTGTCCTAGTAATCTACTTCTTAAGTAATGTGCGATCATTTTTATGAATATTTATGAACCAGCTTTCAAATTTTATTTAAATTTATTTATTCTTTTATAGCCTTAAATATAAGGTTTTTTTTTTCTTTTAATGATAACATCAAACACAGAGGTCACTGAAATTGATGGATTTGAATCCTCTCTCTAGTTATCAAAAAAAAAAAAAAAAAAAAAAAAAAAAAAAAAAAAAAAAAAAAAAAAAAAAAAAAATATTAATTTTTTTACAGGCAGAATAGGAGATTCGAGCATGGGATCACTAGGACGAACGACTTCCGTGGATAGGCGGCAACACAATCCCGCACTCTAGTTATTATTACTAAAGCATTCTTGTGTATTTTAGATTTTATTTGGGATAACTTTTTTATTATTTCTTAAAATAAAATTTTTAATTTTTGTACTAAAAAAATATGATTATTATTATTTTTGGGAACAGGATATCTACCCATTGTCACCTCCGAATGGGCATTTGGTGGCATGACTAACCTTCGGCTGACTTAGAAAAGGCACCATCTTAGAAATCTCGTCCCGCGCTTGAGTGGACCCCACTTAAGGAACTTTTATTCGGTCCAGTGAACGTACGCTCATCTACGTTCGGCCACCAATGTTTTAGCACCACGTAGCATGAAGAAAAGACGCCGACCCGACACGCTATTTTTTGGGTTCTCGCACGTGCATTTTTTTAAATCCTTGACGAGCCGAACAACTTCCCATCACCTTTTGGATATATTTCAAATACCTAGCAATACCGAGCAAATACCGAGTTGCACCTAGTTTTTTCTAGCAATATCGAGCAAATACATAGCAATACAGAGCAAATCCTGAGCAAATACTGAGTTGTACCGAGTTGTACCGAGTTTTTTATAGCAATACCGAGCAAATACCTAGCAATACCGAGCAAATCTCTAGCAATATCGAGCAAATCCTGAGCAAATACCAAGTTGTACCGAGTTGTAGAAAAACTCGGTACAACTTGGTATTTGCATCGTATTGGTCTTCACATAGCTGCATTTCTTATTTTTTTGCAAAGCAATACCTAGCAAATACCGAGCAATACCGAGAAAATCGCGAACATAGCATTCCCGGGTTCCGCTACGGGTCAAGTCGTCGGGCCGCGCAGTAAAGAGTAAGAGCACATGGTGACATGTTATTGGCGGCCGAACGTAGCTCTACGTCAGGTCAGAGGACGTAATAATTGTTCCCACTTAAGAGGCGTTATCACTTAAGGAGAATTGAGCACAGGTTGGGGGATTTTCAACCGTACTTGCCCATCAATCAAACTAAGCAACAATGAGTGTAAAAGATAATTTGAAGTAGTTCTAAAAAAAATTATATTGAGTGGCAAGAACTTTTACACCGTACAATGTACAATCACAACCGTAATTGAAGAAGGGTATATTCGTTTTCTTTGATTCTTATCCATTGGCTCTTTCTTATCCAAACAAAATGGAGGTCCTACTTGAAAAGTACCTTGTTCTTTTTTTCTTCAAATAATTGAGATGAAATTATTGATGATGAGCTGTTCAAGTCCTTATCTAAGGTCATTTTATTAAACATTAAATAAATTGCAATGCAAATTATATTTTCATAGAATAATTTAATGCAATTATTTTATTGCAGTCGATGTACTCTACAGGAGATTTGGGAAAAAATATTAAATTTTTAGCGTGTAGCTGATAGCAACACTCAACAATGAAAAGAGTTGGAATTGATGTGTGGGCTCGAGTCATCTGAAGAAAATATATGAATAACGGCCTATGGCTCCACGGTTGGGCAAATTATTGTATTCGGTCACCTGACAGATAGAGATCCGAACTCGGATCTCTATCTGTCTACAGTAAAAGCGCGGGTACTATAGCAGCACTTTACATGCGCTTTGCTGTAGATAGAGAGAGATCCGAATGGATCTCTCTGTCAGGTGACCGGATGCAATAATTTGCCCCACGGTTGAGGGCAAGCAATGATAAAAAAAATTGTATATAGATTTAAATCAAAATCATTTAATATGCAAAAATATTGGTTATAATGTAATATGCAAAAAGATGTTGCATTTTATTTTCATTGCTAGTTTAAGCCTCAAAAGCAAATTATTATAGGTTAATGAGATGGAGACTTATTTATTGGTGAATGGTTTAAAAACTAGAAGATAAAAGAAAATTGTTTAGCTTACGTTAAAGAACATAATAGTGTACACAACTAGATGAGTATATGTGATGATTTAATAAAAACATCAATAGCAAATTCTTTCTACTTTGAGGTTGAGCAAAGATGCAAAGAATAAAAAAGAATATCATATCATGTTGGTTATAGTTGTTAATTGTATTTGATTTCTTCTATATCAAAGACCGTCATTCGGTGGATACACTTGGCTCAGATAATTAAAAAAAATATTTAGAGCTATTTCATTTTCTTAGTTATCATAATGAAGAAATTAAAAAGTTGCATTTGCAAATGCTAGTGTGAAGTTTAAGTGAACTTTACCAAAAATTAAGAAAAATATTTGTAGTGTTATAGCTGTCAAGAGCTTGGTTTCTATCATGAATGATATTGATGATTCTTATTTCTTTATTCCAGTTGATGAGTCTCGTGATGTTTTTATAAAGGAATAATTAGTTGTTGTAGTGAGATGTGTAAATAAGTTGGGTTAAGTTATTGAGAAATCCATAGGTATTAAACATTTCTCTTCAATCAAAATAGTTGCACTTAAGGTATCCATTGAAGCTATACTTGCAAACATTCATTTAGTATACATGGGATATGTTGTGGCTGTTATGATGCGGGAATTTAATATGTTGGAGTTTCAAGAATTTTGAATACTGTTAGACTTTCATGTAAGAGAAATAATACTCTATAATAAATAGTTTTTCATCTTCCGACTAGTAAGTTAAGTAGTGGTCTAACATTTGAACCAAAAGATGAATTTTCAACGAGCTATTGACACTTATGCTTGAAGCGTATGCATAATAGTCAATTGAAGTTTATGCTTATGTGCTTTAAGTGCTTGAAGTAATCAAGGAAAATAAGGTATATAATAAACATTCAATTGAAATTGGTGTATTAACATATGCTATGTAATTTTTTAATTTTGTCTTGACAATGCATTTAAAGGATATCTTTGAAATATGCTTTCTTTGCTTGGAAGATTTATATAAAAGGATAAAAAATATGTGATGTTTTAGGTAAAATGGGAATATCATTCTCTAGATCTTGTGGTTTTGTAATTGCAACTTTTCATCTATTCTTTGATTGTTTTTGTCATTTTTCTTGTTTAGAAATACAATTTGTGTGGTTCTTTCTTCCACTTTAAGTTGCCTCTTCCATTAAGCTTTGGTTTACCCTAATTTTTTTTTATATGTCAAAAATTGCTCTAGTTGATTATTAAAACTATCTCATACTATATTTACTTGGAGATAATAGTGTCTTCTTTGGTGAAGATGATTCTTCTTTAAATAGGTTGAAGCATAACTTCTATTTTAATTGTCATTTGACTAAAAGAGCATAACATGAAAATATATTAAGTAGATTAAGAATATCATTACTTTATCGATGATGTATGATTATTTTTGGGTTTTTAAAGAAATATTTTCTTAGACATTTAGGTCAATTATGGTAAACTCACAAAAACATTACATACGTAAGACTCAAATTCAAGGCCTCTTGGTTGATAGCTAAAGCTCCCAACTAACATATCAAGATGAGCTATGTTTCGATGAAATGTAACTGCACAACTTCATATTTATTAATGATAGTGCCCGCATAACATGTTTTT